TTATATTTATAATGAGGGAAACCTTCACAATATTAATGTTGTTTAGTAAAGCATATATCATTAAGAATCAGAAAAGCAATAAATGTTTAATCAAATGAGCGTTTGCATTGTTTTATAATCAGATGAGCAGTTCTTTCTGAAAAAGGAACAACATTTGAGTCACACCCTCTAAAAATAGGAAACATTTCCAAATACTGATGATGATGATGACGATGATGCATCCTGAGGCAGGTTTTACTTACTGTAGAAGACCCGTGATATTTTTTTCCAAGGAACTTGTTTTTGTGGAATATTTCCATCTGATTGTGGGCATTGAAAAAGGGATGTTGACGCTGAGCAGCAACTCCTCCCCCACTGCTGTATTAATCAATTACACCTTATAACTGAGACAGAATGACTGCAGTTTCCTCTGAAAGTTTCAAAGGGGACACATTTGAGTTGAATGATGTATGGAGTTAATTCCGTTCCATTATTGTTCCAAGCAAAATTCTGTTTTGTAAATGTAAATAAAATAAAATAATGCAATCCAGAAATTATACTTTGGAAAAAGTATTACCGGTAATCAAAAATAACGTTACTGTTTCCTCATATTTAATTTTTTCAAATTCCATTAAAAACTTTTTTTTTTTCAAATTTTGTTTTATTAATTTTAGTTTTTCAGATGGAGTCCTACATATCGCATTCTATTCAGATTGTGTTTTGCAGACTACCTTCTCTTCTCTCCTGGGGCGGGCATTCCTCTGAAATGATTAGCAAAGATGCTTTTCTATTGGTCTGCATGGACGTTAGCTACATCATTACCATGGGACAACGGTGAGCGTTTGTTGAAGTGAAGAGAAAAGTTCAGTGAAACACATTTTTTTAAATAACAAAAAAAATGAAAATATAAAAGCTTTAAAAAAATGGAAATGGAAACTATGAAAACAACGGAAAAAAATAAACATGACATAGTGAATTACAATTATGGATATAATCTGAGAAAACAGCAAAGTTACTCTCAAAACCCTTTCTTTTATTAGGAAGTGTTTCAAGTTTAATTTCTGGATTGCATTTTTTTTTCTCATTTCCATTTACAAACATTTTTTTTTCTTATAGTAATAGTGTAATATAATTCACTCCATACTGATGAAAAAGTCTGTTTTCTTTCACCTTTAAAGGAAGAAAAGAGGAGAGATCACTCTTGTCATTGTGTTCTAACTATAGAGCTGTGATTATTAACTGTTTGCATTGTTGAAAAAGAAATATAAACACTTTAAAATCAAAAATAGCTCAGTTAAATAAAAGAGTAGAGACGTGTCTCAAAAAAAGCATAAAGGATACACATACAGGATCTGTGATTGCTTTAACTTATACCTCAGAACTTTAAAATATGACTCCTGTCACGGTCTTGGTTATGTTTTATTTTGAGTGTTCAGTTTTACTTTGCTCCATGGTTTCTAGTTTTAGTGGTTTAATTCTTATTTTGCTGTGTTCTCTGGTTATGTTTCAGTTTTTTTTTTTTTTTTGTTGCCCTCTGCTGTGTTCTCCTTTTTGCCTAGCTCCTTTCCAGTCTGCTCTGTTCACACCTGCTCCCAATCTGCTCGTTAGTCCTCTCTTTGCTCAGTCTCCCATATATACACTCCTTATGCAGTTCCTCCGTGCTGGTTCCTCGTCAAACTTCGACCTACACTGTCTTACAGTGTCTTACCTCATCATGATTGTTTTTTCCCCTGATGTCCCCATGGATTCTGGTTTGTTTAACTTTTTTCTTGTTGGATTTTTTTGGATTTTTGGATTCCTGCCTCAGTTGTTTGTTTACCTTGCATTGAATCTACAAAAACTCACCTCTGCCTCCCTGCCTCTGCATTTGGGTCCATTAACCTCAACCAAATCCTGATAACTCCTTTACCCTTGATGGATTTTAACAAATATTGTGCACTTTTTCAAATGGATGTGTCTGAATTCTAACATTTTAAGGTCTTCTATAAAACATCATCCAAATTTGTCTGCTGGATGAAAAAGTAATGCATTGCTTCAAGGATTTTTTTCTGAATCTACTTCCTGCCCTTGTGTGTTGCTTTAGTTAAGTGCAGCTGAAACATGGGGCCGTTAATGGCCTCCAAAAGCTCCTCTAGTTCCTTTAAAAGGTTCCTATAGCAGAAACCATCTTCTCTGTGGTCCCACCTTTAGGCCTGTGACTCTCTGTGGCTGCAGACAGGTAATGGATTACCTTCTTGTTCAGTAAGGCCTTATAACGGGGAATATTTTGAACAGATGTCTAGCTGGTTGTAAGTGGAGCATAAATTGATATAGAGAGCACGTTTGCCACAAAGATGTGCAGAGCAGAGGACATGGTTCGGCTCTGTGGTACAAAAGTAGAGGAAGGACAGATTGGAGGATTGTGACGCTTTTAGAAAATTAGGGAACTTAAAAGAAGAAATGGTGAAATCTCAGTGGCTAATACTGATATCTGATCAGAGAGTACGCCAGGTAATGGTGGGACTTTCAGTGTTTGTAAGAATGACGTTTATCAGCTCAGCAAATCAGTTTTTACCTTTTATATACAGCATCTGCTGATGCCCACAGATTGTAAGAAGTTATAACTGCTTCTCTTCTTCATGGTTTGCCACAATAAGTGGCTTTGATTGTAATATTTTCTTTGTGTCTGAGCCGAATGAGTGACAGCATTTAACTGAGATTACAATGTGAGTGTTTCTTACTGCTTTTACTTCCCTCCTCTTTTTAGTGTCATGCCGTTAAACCCTAATGAGTAAAATGCTGAAACCTGTACGATCTCTGAGTGACTCACTAATATAAATAGAAACTGTCCTTAACCTTTTATAGGGCACTTTGAAAATCAACATTTCAAACCAATAGTGTTATTGGAATCCAGGACGAGACCTTGTTTCCTTTGTAACATTCAAAAACTACGAATATTTCGATGGCAAATATTATTGTCAATGTAATAACAAGAAACGCCAACTTGCCTGAATATATTAAGAAAAAAAAAGAGCTTCTATAAGAAATACATGAAAAACACTGAGAGTAAAAGAAACCAACTTTTTTGGTACAGCAGAACCTTAGAGGCATTAATGCTGATACTGGCACTAACATTGTTTAGTTTATAAACCTAAATATAATTGTTAACTAGGCTTATTAACTTTTTAACTTGACTTGTTAACTTTTCCATTAGATATCTACCTTTTTTTTCTTAACTTGTAAACTTTTTTTTTTTTTTTTTTACTTAATTTACAGTAGCTGATATTTCATTCAAGGGTTCATCTAATTGGTCAAATGCCAAAATAAGACATATTGCCATGTAGCAGGATCTTTTCTGAATGGCTGGATATAGATCTTGTGCTTCTAGACCTCACTGAGGAACGGGGGGTATGCGAGAGATCAAAAATGGTAATAAAGGGTTAAATATATTCTTGACATGAATGTCCAAACGCCTGTGTGCATCAGTGTAACAATGATCCTAAAAATACAAATCCTGCGTGGATTTTGGTTTTAAATTGCAGTTTGAGTCACCAGCATTCATAAGCCACTAATGTGAACGACAGGCAGACTGGAAAAACAGACTGGGTTTATTTGGTCTCCTAGCTACTGCTCTGGAGGAACATTTCTCCTGACTTCCTTCTGCTCACTCAATTAAAAGCCAATTAAATCTTGTTGATTCATAATGAAGGTGGAGGCTTATAGCTATCATTAGTCCTTTCTTAGGCTTCTTTTGATGTTTACCACTGATGCCCAAATCAGTGAAGCATACATGATTTGATCAATTTCAAATCCTGCTTTAGCTTTAAATCTTTTTACATATTTTTCTATTTCAGACTTAAAGCTCTGTTTTCACATTTCCACACTGCTAACATAAAGAGAAAAGCCCTCAAAGTCAGAATCCTAAATACGCAAAATTCCTTTTTCTAAAAATGCTTAGGGCCCTTGACTGAGGGGGCCCCAAAAGAAGAAAACATTTGTCCCGCTATATTTTTCAACTATAAAAAGAAAATCCAGCAGTGAGATAACTTATCTTCGTGTTCTCCCTCATTCTCCAGCAGTAAACGGCGAAACAAAGCATATTGAATATATGAATATATTTTTATACCATTCAAAAATTATATTATACCATAAATAAATTATATTATTTAAGACATCTATAAAACTTGACCAGCCTAAAGCAACATCATTAATGAGGGCTCTCCTAATCGGAGGCTATCACCTTAAACTCACACTGCATAAACATTCTGAAAATGAGTGAAAATTTATTAAAAGAACTGTATTTACCTTAAATCTGAGTAGGAAAATAAGATCTGCGAATGGAATGAGCATTTTTACACTTAAAATAAGATAATTGGATATAATGCACTTGAAATAAGAGACTGCAGTCTTTGTTTTCTTATTTTAAATGAATATATATTGAATATATGAATAGATTTTTACACCATTAAAATATTATACCATAAATATATCATATTACCATTAAAAGACATCTATAAATCTTGATCATTTTCATGAGCAGCCTGAATCTGAGAGAAATTTGAAGATATAAAAGCTTTAAAAACAAAAATCCTATAGATCTTAAGTTTTGAAACTCGCCCAATTAAAGGCTAAAACTTTGTTATGGTTAATAAAACAACATCCAGTTTCTCTTCTTAGTTTATTTGACTGAATTATGCACTCATATGACAACCTCTGTACAGAAAAATAAGTTAAAAGCTATTAACACGCCAAAACAATTGCTTCCATTTTAACCGAATTGTAAAGAATTTAAACAAAACAAAACCTAATAGTAAAAGTGCATGCAAAAAACATGGAGTGCAGTGGCTTTCTTCATCAAACCACATCAAATCTCTGATGTACACTAGTCTAATGCATCGCTTTCAAATTAATCAAAGCTTTAAGCAACAATATTTCTGTGCAAGTAGATTACAAAAAGCACTAAGGCAAATAAATCCCCTATTGTTGATGTTTAAAGTGTCAATGCATTTAAAATGTAAAAAAAAATAAATAAATACATGAGCTAAAGTTTCCATATATAATTGTTTGCTTTTTTTCAAAATGCCGAAAAGGATTTTAGGTTAGTTGAGTTTTTATTACTCATATACAGACAGAATAACGACATTTTCACAAGTTTGACATTAAATATGAAGTAGACCAAATAATTCAAGCTGCGTACGTTAAATCCCAACATGGCAACATTACAAATTTGATGAATACAGAGTTTAGTGAGAGAAAATGTGCACACTGGAAATTCCCAGGTTTGGTATTTCTATCAGTGTTTGAATTAAACATAAACTATGCAGAACTTTACTGGGTTGTGTTCTCAGCTATATACAAACGCTGCAGAAGGAGTAACTTTGAGGTGTTCCCAACAGTTCTGTGCTTTGGTGTAAAGTGAGATAGCCAGATCCAGAAAAAAACAACAACAAAAAAACAACCTTAAAATAATGATGCTCAAAGCACATAGATAGAATAAAGGATAAATTTTAGTGGGGTTACTTTAAAGAGACACAGAAGATTGCAGGTTGCTTAAAGTCTTCCTAATCAGAAATGTCAAATAAATCAATTAGAATCAGAGATTTGGCCAAAATGGAGTTCAGAGATTAACCTGTCCTTTTTATGAAAAACAAGAAAACAAAACATAAAAACAAAATGTGCAAATAAACAAGAAGAAATAAATCAAATCAATTGATTCCAATGTTTCTTTGAATTAACACATGCTAACGTTAGCCAAAGCTAAAGCTGTGAGATAGCTAGCTAGCTTAAAATATATTTGAATGGATACTAATATCATTCAATGATAACTCTGTGTCCTGGTGATTCAGTCAGTTTACAGCTATTGTAAAACATTTAAATGTTTTATTTAGCAACCAATAAAAGGCAACCATTTCCCTGATACGAAATATATCCTAGCTTAGCTAGGTCATGTATTACTCTGTACATTGATGCGCTCCGGGTTCTTCTCTACCTTCAACAATTCCTTCATGCTTTTGTTCTTCTTTACGTTTTTTTTTATTTCTTTACATTTATTTCCATTCTTTCAATAGTAACCAAACCAGTTTTTGTCTACGAACCAACCTTACATATCTTTAGAGAAGAACTTTAGTCAATTTAAAAAGAAAAGATCAAAAAATACTGAAAAAGGATGTAGCATATGTATTTTAATTTTTGAACTATTGAACAACAGCCATTTATTTGGGCTATTTCGCAAAATAGAGAGAGTTGAATCAGAGGAAATATGACATATAATGATGCATGATAAAATAAAAACTAGTTTTCTTTTTAGGATTGTTATATACGTGTTTCCTTTCATTTTACTATAGGATGATTGTATAAAATTACTTCAAATAGGAGGTATTTACAGCAGGTAAAATGAAACATCTACAGGAGTGGCTAAGAATTAATGCAGGATTAATAACAGATCCCATGTTGCTGGCTTCACCTAATATCTAATGGACAAAACAAGGTAAATGCAGAACACTCAGGGTTTTTAAATAAAAGTTTTTTTTTCTTAATTCTTTTAACAAGTCAACTAATTAAAGACAACAGAAGTCTCTAAATGTTCATCTCTAAATGTAGGCCTATGTGTATTACGTGCTTTAGTAATATAATTAGCAAGACTACACCTTAAAGTACGTGTATTTTTTTCTCAAATACTACAAAAGGCCTCCTATACCTGGATAATAATTAGGAATAGTAAAAAGAAATATTCATTTAGCCAGAAATTTAGACTGATTGAAATAGGAATTTATAGGTGCAGGTTATTATTTTAAAAAAGAGCTAAATCCAGAGCTTGTTTTATGTTCTTCTGTCATCTAGCCCTCAGGAACAATAAAAAATTAAAATAAGGTAGAAGAAAATTCTTGAATTAAATAATTTTGAGCATCAAAATAACAAGTGCTTCTTAAGTCAGACTCAGTCTTGTAAAATAACAATGGGTTTTTAAAAATTTCTACAGGCCCAAAATAATAAAACCCTTTCCCTTATGCTAGGTCACTGACAAAACAATAACTCCTCTACATTTTTTTTCTTAAATTAAATAAACAACAACAACAAAACAATGCCCCACCTCTAATTGAGGGATCCCATTTTCAGTCCATAATAATGAATTTTTGTTTCCCAGCATCAGAGGAGTGGTCATCTCTGCCTGAAAAATCTGAGCCAGAGGCAATAAATTATTCATACAGTGCAAAAGCAGAGGCAGAGCAATCTGCTGTTCCACAACAGATTTCAATGCAAAACTGAAACCCCGGGCACCAGGGGGACGAAAACGCTCCGAGGTCAGCAGGTTCACGCTGCCAGCCTTTAACATCCCCGCTGAGCGTCTGGAGAAAAGCAGTGCAGCTGTCGGTGGGATGGAAATGTGGGTCTTTGAAGATAAAGGCAGACAGTTTTAAAAGTCTTCTTTTTTCTGAAGCAGATTACCGCCTTTCTCCTCCTCACCATTCACAGCAGCAGAGGAAGGAGCATGATGACCCCTCAGGCCCACGGAATTTGCCAGAACTGGGCGTGTCTGTGCACTGTGCTATGAATGCATGTAGACATGTCTGGGGAACATGCTCCCTGGTTTGGGCCTGTGGGGAAAAAAAAAAAAACTTAAGGAAAGACAATTCAATGAATCAAATGAATCCTCAAATCAAAATTCTATTTCTATCATCATAGGTGTGGCGGGAGCTGCAGCTAAGCGAAGGGCGGCAGCGTACCGTGATGGTGTCGTATGCTCCGGTGATCAGAGCGATGAAGAGGGAGAGCACCATGTAGATGAACAGCGAGATGAAGGTGTAAAGGTAGACCTGGCTGAAGATCCACACCAGCGTGCTGCTTTGCTCCATCTCAGCAAACGTCACAAACATGTCGTCTCCGTTGATGAGAGAAAACAAACACTCTGACACCCTGGACAGGGAGCGAAACTGTACAAATAACATCAGTGTTACAGGGGGAAACTCATCGTATTTAAAGGTGTAGAGGAGGATTTTTGCAATTTTTTTTAAAAGACCCGCCCTCTCCACTTAAAAAAAAAAAATGCACATGCACAACCCTGTACCCGCTCCCACGAGGGAACGCCTATTGAAAGCGTGCACGATCCCATTTCTCCTCATGCATGCTCTGTTTAAACAATGCTGATCTCATACAGTCATATGAAAAAGTTTGGGTACCTACCTATTAATTAATTATTTTTATTTCTAAATACTTGGGGGTTTGCAACAGCTATTTCAGTTTGATATATCTAATAACAGATAACATTTTGGCACCTGTCAAATTTTGTTGTAATGCGTACAGCACATTTTCTGTTAGTCCAATAAACCTCAATTCAATACTGAAATATTAATGTGTCCATCAGTTATTAGATATATAAAAATTTAAATAGCTGCTGCAAACAGCCAAATATTTAGAAATAAAAATAATTAAGATTAATAGGTGACAGCAAATCCCATAATGCTTTGTGAGCAGAGCTCTCCATGCAAAGCATTCTGGGATATATCTGCCTCTTCTAAGGCCTTTCTTTTCTTCTCATACTTTTCGTAGACACTTTTTCTCTGACGACCCTCGGCCATTTTCAAAGAACCGCGTTGGGAAAGGTGAACTTTAATGACCGTCTGGAACCGTAGCTCACCACAGATATACGCCTGAAGGTGCGCATGAGCGGGAAAAGATAGCTAACGAAGGACAGCCTTACATAAACATATCACCAGAATGATTGACAGTTAGGAGGATCGCTTATTTAGATGATCCACCTGGCAAATAAATTCCTCCACTATACCTTTAAGAACCGTAAACATGAAATTAGGAAGCATGAACTCTAAAACACAAAGGCAAGACCACACATATATGTGACATGATGTTAGGAACAGTGAAACTTTCTCCCTATTGCTGTAAACAGAATTACGTTTTTTTTTTTTCTTGCAAAAGGGGTGATTTTAGGTCAAATGTACACGTTTAAAAATCCTTTATAAAAAGTGAAAAATGTTTGTACAAAAATACTGCATTCAGGCTTGATATTAAACCTACAGGAGTTAAACAGTAATGCGACTCTCACCTGAGGAACACTCCCACCTACAGACAGCCCATCATCAGCGTTTTTAAGGCAAAATGATGGCACAAAAAACCCCAGCAGTTTCTGTCAGAGATCTGCTTTGCATCTTTGCTAGATTAAATTAGAATTAAAATCAGTCAAATATGGATTTTTAATAATAGTAATAATAATAATTGAACTTGAAATTTATGGTGCGCTGTTTCTAATTCGACTGAAGTGACTGCCAGGGGCGTCCACCAATAGGATCAGGCAGGTGCAGTTTTAAACACAGGAACAATTGCATGTATGTAAAGCCAGAAGTGCCATATTCTTAATGCATAACTTTCTAGAACTGTGCTGCTTAAGGTGGCTGCAGCTTGGACTAGCTCTGCTAACATGACCCTGACTTTTTTCTGAAAATTTCTCAGTTTGTGAATCCGAGTTTGTTTTTGTTTTTTTAAATGGAAGGATTTTTATTGATCTTTTTTTCCTTTTTCTAGACTTTTTATGATGCATAACCCTAGCAACAATAGCAAGTTATAAAGAAATAGATTTTGATCGATTGAAGTTGATTTTTTTTACACCCAGGAGCAGCTGTTTAACACCGCTAAAGGTGAAATAATACATCGAGTAATAGCTGAGTTGAAAAGGAGGCAGAAGCATTTCATCTCATTCACAGCATCATTGGTTACTAGTAATTTTCTTGGCTTAGCAGCTGGTTTGTTATGAGGCCGTCTGGGAGAGAGCTGGATGCCATCGTTCCTTTTTGTGTTGTCTGGAAACAGGCTGTTCTCTTAAAGGTCATCTTGTGATGTTCTCAGTAATCTCAGTAGGTCCTTGCTTCGTTTGTTTTAGAAACAAACTGCTTTTTGCACCTGTGAATACTTGGAGTAGAAGACCTGTTTCTCAGAAGTGTTTTGTCATCTAAATGTGGCGTTCGCCCTGTCAGGCATCATTTCAGATCTGGGTTGGAGAGTTTGTTTTTTGCTGCTCCTTACTACTGGTACTTCACCTTATATTTATGTATAACTATATATTTATATAACTATATATTTATTTATTACTATATGTTACATTAAGTAATTAATTTAAAACAAAAACATTTAATTTATTCATAATTACAGTCATGTAATCTTTTCAATTACATGACTGTTTATTTTATAACTAAGCGTTCCCACCCAATGTTTCCTCTAAGCCTGCACCATCGCCAACAGCTCGCCCATTCTATACAGCACAAAAAAAAAAACATGAAATATAAATCAGTTTGACCAAAAATATTTTTTAAGTATCATTTTTAATCCGTGTATCAATCGTTTTTTCAACTTAAAAACAAGAATGAAATGAAAATAAGAGAAAAACTCCCTCCCAATACAGAGAAATGGAGAACTGTTATTTTTACCGTAATTTTCAGACTATTAGCCGCACCTGAATATACCGTAAGCCGCAGAAGCTAAATTGCATGATTTGTACATATACAAGCCGCACCGGACTATAAGCCGTAGGTTTTTTATGTTTAATACAAACTGTCTTGCGTTCGCAATGTCCATCTTTCTCGCTGTCGCTCTGTCTCGTTTCCGGAGGACCTCCGCATTCTCGCGCGCGGCTACCGTACTTGTGTGTTGAAGCAAAAGTGACGCCAACATGGTGGATGGTATAATCCATAGATTTAGGTATTACCCTAGTGGCCGTTAGTTGTAAAAGTCCATAGATAAGCCGCATTGTTATATAAGCCACAAGGTCGAAAAATGGGGAAAAAGTCGCGGCTTATATTACGAAAATTACGGTACTTGCCATACTAATTTAAATGTATTGAAAAAACAAATGAATAAGAAACACATTCACCTTATTTTGATTTCATTTTAGGGTCTTATTTAATCTCTTCTTTATGACTGCAGTGATAAAAGCTGCCAGATGGCTTTACTGAAATTTAGCCATCCTGGCACAAAAATCCACCCTTTAATCGCAGTTTAAAATATCACTATCATTTTAAGTAAAAAAAATGAATACATTTACTAAATAAATGTATATAGCACATCTAACAAACAATTTTTTTTAGCAGGCCAAATCTTAAATTAAAGTAAACTAATGTAAATTGCAGCTGTAATCCCTTATTATTTGAATAAACAATGTAACTTGCTCTGATCTCCGCTTTATAACAATTTTAATATTGGTGTGGTCTCAGCGTGCGCATGTGATGTTGCTCACAGTGGTCCTCAGGCTCTTTAACGTATGATCAGACATATGAAAATTAGAGGAAACATTTGTCCCACCCACATGTTTGGAGGCCCTGTTCTAAAGGATGGAGCATGCACCATTACTTTCCAAAAACATTCAAGCAAATGATCCATTCTTGGACTATTGTCAGCAAGGCTCAAGTTTCTAAAAGCAGAAGGTGATGTTTAACCAAACTATGTTGACATCAAAGGTTTGTAAAATCTTTTCTCAGAGCCAAATAAAGGAGAAGATAACTAAAATGTTTTGATATTATCCTGGATGAAGAGAGAGTTCAGCACCTTAGTATGGTAGGGTCCCAGGACAATCCATCCACAGAAGCAGTATCCCAAATAAATAACAGCCACGCAGCAGCAGAAGCGGATAACGCTGGGAAAAGCCGCTCTTAGAGTCACAATCAGGATCTGAAGCAAAATGGGAAGAGAGACCAGATTGAAAAAACATCCATAAACATCGAAAAGGATTGATATAAAAGATCAAAATGTCCGATTACATTGTATTTCTGAAAGAAGCTGAAGTAGCGGATGACTCCCACCCACACCAGCAGAGTGGACGTTCCCAGCAGGATGCCGCACGTGTCGTACGATGACAAAGTCTGTATCACAAGAGATCGCAGAAAATAAATCAGTCAGAGTAGAAGTGGGCAAAGAAGACTCTTTTCCCCATCATCTAATTTTCAGACTTATACAGATAAAAATGCTTGAATACTTTTCCAGACGCTGCCTGACTGTAAAGGAATCCCCCAGATAATTCACAGTAGCTACCTTGGACTCTATCCCGATTTTTATGAAGCTGCCAACGATGGTGAACACGTCGCTGATGATGAGCAGGATGTACCAGCCGTTGATAAACTCCATTCTGTCCCCCCAGCTGACGGTGCGGTTCAGTTTGTGTTTGAAAAACTGCACAAATTCCTGGATGAGAAGAAGGAACAAGATCAGGACTCATGGCCTGAGGACAGCGCGTCCACAACAACAACCATTTACATCCACGTGTTCCGTTTAGTTCAATCCGCTTTGATTGCTTCTATTGAAATAAAATTTTCTGATGTCAGATAAAAGGAAAATAAAGAAGCTGTTTTTGTTTCCTACATGTTGAAGGAGGATTCCTCGTAGGATGGAGCGGCCGCAGAGCAGCAGCGACAGCAGGCAGACGATCGCCACCACCACATCAAAGAACTCTCTGGCGTAGCTCTCCGCTAATGGAGGAGGAGAGAAATGAATTGAATTAAAGCTGATTTGCTCAATAAAATAAAAAAGGGACAGGTCAGTGCAAGAATAGCCTACAGTGACTCACCGTGTCCAGATACGTTTGGGTCTTTACATTCCTTTATGGAGGCCTGGTTCTGCAGGAAGATCTTGACTTCGCCGCTGTGAGCTTTGTTATCGAAGATGATCTGAGACAACAAACAGAACCAGGTGAGTCCATCAGTCAATCCCACAAAAAAAACATTTATTCATCATTTTCTGTTGTTAAAGTGAGACTTTTGGAAGCTGGTTAAAAATAACCAATAAAAATGCTGTTGCTAACATCTAAAGCCCGCCTCCAAATGTACGACGGAGTATTAGGGCCGGGCTAGAGATTTTTTTTCTTCTATTACGAGAATAAAGTCGTACAAGAATAAGGTTGTAAAATTAGGAGAATAAAGTCGTACAATTACAAGAATAAAGTTGTATTTGATGACAACACCTACAAGAAGCACTTTCTTCCCTAAAATGAGGAATGTCGAGCTTCATGTCAAGTTATACTTTGGCATTGGTTTAACAAATAAGGAAATCTTTTAGCACAGAAGCATCAAATTGGGCAGCAGGTCAAAGTGGACTCAGGTTGTTGATTGGTGGAGCTAGTTGGCCGTCATATGCTGATCGGAGCTCGAAACTTTCTTTATGAAACGGGTTGTTGTATGATGACTTCATTTTTGTAACATTACGACTTTATTCTCGTAATGTTACGAATTTATTCCCCTAAAATTATGACTTTATTCTTGTAATACTATGAATTTATTCTTGTAAAATGATGACTTTATTCTCGTATTGTAACAAATTCATTCTCGCAATGTTACAACTTTATTCTCGTAGCGTTAAGACTATTCTCGTAATGTTACGATTTTTTTTCATAATGTAATGGCTTTCTTCTCGTAATATAACTCACATAATGTTACGACTTTATTCTCGTAATGCTACGACTTTATTCTCGTAATGTTACGACTTTATTCTTGTAATGCTACGACTTTATTCTTGTAATGCTACGACTTTATTCTCTTAATGCTACGACTTTATTCTCATAATGCTACGACTTTATTCTCATAATGTTACGACTTTATTCTAGTAATGCTACGACTTTAATCTCGTAATGCTACGACTTTATTCTCATAATGTTACGACTTTATTCTCGTAATATTATGACTTTAATCTCAAAATAATAAAAAATAAATAAATCTCTAGCATGGCCCTAATACTCCGTCTTATGAAAGTGAGGAGGTGATCTATAAAAAGGAATTTGTGAAGAAAATAAAACAAAACTCAATCACAAAAATAATTAAAGAAAAACAATATTTCTTTTCTAAATTAGAACATTTTAAAATAATCTGTGAAAATAAAAATCTGAGACAACATCAACATCACAGTTACTTTAAAACCTCTTTTGTATTAGGATATCTTTTAGATTTTATTTCTGGAGTGAATTTTCTTTTTTAATCTCAAGTTAATTTTTCTTTTATTGCAACAATAATGGGACAACATTCCCTCCATACAGCAGAATGAATATAAAACTGCTTCAATGCAGGGTCCCAAAGCTGCTGCACAACAGAAATCTGTGTTTAATGTTGCATCTACAAAACTGTGACCCGTGTCATGCATCAGAACTGATGTTACTAAACCAGTCACCCTGCATCCTCTAACTGCTGAGAAATGTTTCACCTTTAAACACTCTATTTTCCACTTCAGCTGCTTTTGGTAAAACTTTATATAATAATTATAAAAACCGACACAAAGACAGAACATCTTATGTTTCTAATCAGTTCACAGAAGGACGTCAGGTTTCAGGTGAAAGGACTTTTATTTTTTTAAAAAGCTCACCGTGATGGCAAAGGTGTAGCAGTCTGGAATTTCATTGTTGATTATTGTCTGAATGTTGATGGCCTTCAGCTGGAAGTCAACTGTGACGTTGATCAGCCTGTAGAGGGAACAAGAGCAGCAGTTCATTTATGTAAAGACTTCTGTAAAAAGGAGAATCTTACTTGTTAAGGGAAAAAAAAAAATCTGATTTTTTTTATACAAACTTTTTTAGCCACACCTAAGCCTGATTTCCACCCTACTCAAAGACTCTAGACTAGAAGCAACAGAAACAGAACCTGCCCGACAACATGAAGTAAGTTAAAGGATTTGGTCTTAGCTAGAGAAATTCAAAAACAGACGGTTCTTGAAAGGTTTATAAAGCCATTACCAATGATAAGGGACTGCAGAGAACCACAGTGAGGACCGTCATCTACAAATAGAAAAAATGCAGAACAGGAGGGAACTTTCCCAGGACTGGTCAGCCTATCATAGATTCTGCAGGAATGGCATTAAGGACTCATCAAGGAGGTTAAAAAAGAACCAGGAATAACATCTAAATAAAAAGTAAAAAAAAAACAACTATCTACTGGTGTTTGTTTCTAAGTCTAAAGACGTTTCCCATCCAGGAAGCTTTTTAAATTAAAATGTCAGAAATAGTGTTGAGTTGGAGGTTTTATACAGTAGCCCAACTACGCCTTGTTTTTGTTTTGAAAACATGCAAATTGAAACTGATGCATAAGTCCATCCCTTTGGAATGGGGGTTCGGCTTCTTTTGTTAGCCTGCAATGCCCCATACCTGTCTATGGGAATTGTTGGGCTGGCTGAATAGGCGAGGTCTCCCTCCCTGTACAGGGGTGGGGGCTGCGATGATAACGGGAAGGGATCAACTCAATTGCTGCTAGGCAGGGATTAAAGTAAAAAAGCAAAAAAAAAAGAAGCCTATATGCTGTTGTGTGTGTGTGTATTTTCAATTATGGGATCAGAGATTGCATGAATGATTGAAGACTAAATTTGACTTTTAAAAATCAAATACCAAAAACAGGCAGAAGATGCCAAGATGCCCAGCGCCATTTACTTTTGAGACCTTTATCTATGGTCATAACATCTTCCCAGGGGTTCATGAACTGCATTGTTCCCACTCCATGCAATTCCATTCCCTCTATCGTCCTTCACTCCAAACATAAAGTTTCATTTACTTATTTCTTGACTCTTTACACGTCTCTCCATTGAATGGAGCCGTAAACGGTGCATGGTGACTCTGTGTAGAACTTTAGCAATCTATCTGGCGACTTCAGCAAGAAACGAGAGGTGGAGGCACACGCTTTCCTAAGACCCGCCCCCTGCTTCTGATTGGCTAATACTGTTTGTATCAGAGCGCTCCTTTGCTTCCATTGGCTGAGAAACGCAAGAGGGATTTCAAACTTTTTAATATTTATTTACCGCCAATTTATTTTCTAGTGATATTTTCAACAGGCAATCACTATGAGCCAAAAATCGGGCCCGGGGCCAGAATACTTTAATCCCTGTATAGGTATTCATGTAAAAAGAGAAGTAACATCAAAAGACACCAGGGCTTCTTCTGGTACCATCTTTAAATTGTTTGATATGCTTTAAAATTTAACATCTAAAGCATGGAAGGACTAACAGTAGGAAAGGGCCTGGACAGAAACCACAGCCATAGAAGAGTATGAAAACAAACCTCTTCCTGCCAATAAGGATGGCATGTTTAGAAAATATTTGATGAGGTTTACATTCTGGGGAAATCTGCCACAGCAATCCAGGACAGTGAAACCTGGCGGAGTGTGAACTCAGCCTTAAAGCAGCTGAGTTCACACTACTCAGCTGCTTTAAGGGCCTGAAAACCTGGCTATTATGGACAGAACTATGACTTCTATGAAATCAGAATCCTGCTAAAAGGGCACAGGCGTAAAAATAATCCTACAAACAGTTTTATTTCAAAGACATCCTTATAAACCACTGCCCATGTGCGTTTGGAATATTTCACGCCTGCAGATTCAAAACCATGAAACAAAACAGGTTTCTGTTATTTCTGTTCACCTCCCTGCATCTTTAAGAACCACCAATTCCGCTTGGTATAATAGTATAAATCTAAAACGTATAGTACGTTTATATAGTTAGTACATTTAGTATGACCCAATGTCTCCAGCATGAATTCATGCTCCTTCTTTTGCTTTTTATGCTCCTATAGATTCTCTCCTACTCTCTGAACCAGGTTCTGTCAACTCAGGTCAACTTTTGACACTTTGAGGCAGGAACCAACCAGAGAAAGTAAACTGCCTACTTTTCAGGAAATCATCCCACCTCTTTAGACAGTAGTTTTCTTCTTGCTTGCGGCTAGTAACGTTAGCAAGGCATCTTGACTAGAGTTACCAGACGTCCCTGATTTCCAGTGACATATTTCGTTTTCGACCACCTGTCCCCAAAAATCTCCCTGATTTTATGAATTTGGGGGACAAATGTTGCATATAAACTGTTATTATAGCAGATAGAGTGTGGGCGCTTGCTGCGCACAGAAACAGCTGTTAACGTGTAGATGAGGAGCAGATTGCAACGGACACAGCTACACTGTGTTACCCTTAAATCCATCATCCTCTGTCACCGTAAAGCTGCGCTCCAGACCACCTGCGCAAAGCAAAGCCTACATCCTCCACGGTTCCTCCCGTCCTGCTGCGCTCCAAATTCTTGGGAGCTCGAGGAGAGCATGCGCTATATTATTATTAAATTTACAGGAGCAAATAAATATTTTAAAAATCCCCATCAGTATCCAGCATATGTTCAGTTTCTGCCCAAATATTTTCTTTTTGTTGTGGATTTTTGTAACAGCGATAACTAGGATCATATAATCTTTACCTTTACATCCTATTAAAACAATAACAGCTTATTGAAAACAAAAAGCACAGCTGTATCTATGAATAGAAAACAGGATTGTGAAAATATATTCCTGTTAGGTTTCACTATAACTTTATTAAAGGACACATCATTGTTATCCCGGCATTGAGAGCTTATTTTTCATCATCTATAGTTGTAATGACAAAACCTGTATTTTTGGTGTGGCTGCTTCAAGCTGCTCATCAATGATCTAGATTTATAGATGTGTTTTAATGGTTTTAATTTAATCTGAATATAAAATTAAACATAACTTCTTTAATAGTGACACAGATATTAATCCAGGCGGCGGATATATATCTGGTTTGCGGATGCGCAAATGAGCAGATGGTATGAATCGGGCAGTGTTGTGCCTGAACGCGTTCATTGAACGAAAGTTCATGAACTCGTTCATATTTTGGGCGAACGTGAACTGAACGTACTGCATTATTGCCTGATGAACGTTATTGTGAACGTGTTCATTCTGGTGTCTGTGAACGGCACGCTCTCTCAGTTCAACTCCGTTCAACAGGTTGCCAGATTTCTACAGAGCCCTCCAGGCGAAACCCCGGCTAAATCACACCGTAAACAAGCCTTAATATGTAGCGGGAAAAACACCCAATCTGGTAACACCAGCTACCAGCGTCGTAGCCTACAGCTGCGTGCGTCATCAAAACAAAATGCAGCGTGGAAGCTACAGCAGCATGGAGGCTACCGTGGAGGCGACAAAGCAGCAGTATGATCACTTAAAACAGGTTTATGACCAGGTGGTCGGTGAGAATGATCGCAACAATCTTACATTTCTCTGCAAACTTTGCCCGCCGGCTTTCAGTAAAAAAATCCGAACTTAAATCTGCCTGGTATAATTTTCCAGGATTCCTTTTTAGTATGTACTGAAATGGAATTTCAAATGGAAAATATTAAAATAAAAAAAACTTTTGCACCTCAAAGACTACTTTCCTATTTTTATTTTAATAATTCCTCATAAAAAAGACCATTCAAGCAGCACATTTTTCCTGATGTTTTTGAGAATATACTGTAGGGGTGAAAGCTGCAGCTGCTACTATTGTGAAGTGAATTTACAGCAACAAAGCAACAATGGGGAAATGCTGTCCCCTCAATGCGAATGTAAACCCTGGTTGGATAACGATTCAAAACTGGATATGAAGATGAAATCTGATGCACAGTTTCAGTGTTACAACTGATAAAATAATTGCTGTCTGTGGTTCTACAGTAGGCTATGGTGTAATTGAGCAATACATGAAAAAAAAAGAACTATGAACTAGTTAATTTTTTGGAACTGTGAACTTAGTTCAAAATTTTGAATTATGAACTATGAACTGAACTAGTTCATTTTAAAATGTGTGAACTGAACTTTGAACTAGTTCACGTAGAAAGAGAACTTTCCCAACACTGGAATCGGGCTTCCAGGACAGGTCAGGTAGTGACACTCCCCACAAACAGGAAGAAATGGTGTTTTCTAAACAGGTGGACTCTCTATAAAGTAAAGTAGACCACAAGCAGTTTAGTTTCCCTGGTTGGTTCTATCCTCACAGTGACAAAAGTGAAGCTGAGTTCACAGAAACAGGTTCACGTGTGAGAAGGAGAGAATCTAAAGGAGCATAAAAACAAGAGAAGGAGCATGAACTCACGGTACTGAATCTATATGCATAAAATATTCAATTTGTGCAGATAGTAGTTTATAACTTCATAGATTTCTGATCTTTGGAAGAAAAAAGTCTGAGCATCAGAGCTCAGGTTAATAGGAGGAAGATGAACTTTGGCACACCATCAATTTCAGGTCAGGAAAAAAGCTCTGGACTTATCTCTGCTTTAAGATAAACAATTAATCAAATATATTCCTCAAAGATCAAAATGTATCCATGATTGTCACTCAGGGGCAAAAGGGATTGATGTTTTTTTTTTTTTTCAGCCCCTTTGTGAATGAAGGGGGGGGGGGGGGGGGGGGGAGTTTTCACAGCACTGTAACAATAACATGTTGGGGTTGTTACATAGAAGAAGAAAAAAAAACTACGTCTAACTTGTAAAACTGGAGAGTGAAATTCTTGTAGTTGCCGTTTCTTGCAGCCGAATCGTCCGTCGTCGGATCGAGCCCGATGCAGTCTGAAAATATAAAAACATCCATGAAGGAACTGAAAACAGCCACATGAGGAAGTTTTGCTTTAAAGACATTTAAATAATTTTTTTTCCACATCACATGAAGCCAATGTGAAACTTCTACACTTCCCTTAAAGCATTTAAGCTCAGAGCCCGCCCATCTGGAGCTGGTATTTTATTTCCATTTGCTTTGCTATTTTCATCGCTAAACTTATCATTGGTCTCCTAAAACCAGTAGAGTCAGCAGATGTGGGCAAATAACATCCTTCCCAAAGAGATATCTGCTTCGTTTCAGTAAATATATGGAAAAAAAACCAATGCTTTGATGTGTTTCCACTGACACTGCATAGGTGATTTATAAGTGGGGCAATTTTTTTCAAAGGGGGTCATATGGGGTCTGAGATCCTTTATAGCAATTAAAATAAACAATAAAAATGATCAATATTAACAATATTTATTCACTTAAAGATATTCAAATGTCACATAAAAATAGAAATGTGTACAGGAGAGAAAAACGTCTCTTACCTGTAACAACATGGGGGTCGATGTCAAACGTGTCGTTGACGGGGTCAATAGTTCCCTTCTTATAGTACCGCTGGCAGAGGGAGAGAGCGCTTCCATTCACGCCTACGCCCGTCACATACGCATAGCGGCCCAGTGCGATCTCAGGCAGAGCCAAGTACTTCAAGGAAAGAACAGAAACGGAAGAATCAAACGCCAGGTTCCTAAGCCCAACCGGTGATTCAGTTTTTAAAATGGCTTGCAATGCCTTGCTAAAGGATTTCTACCCCCACAGCAGAAACGGGAGAGATAGATTCATACATCTCAGAGCACAAGTGCAAATTTATACTTTTAGGTTAATATGCAAAACAGAAAACAAGCACTGATGGGAGGTTTTTGTTCTGCAAGGACAGCAAAGATGGTCGGATTTAATAGGAAGCTGAATGGATTCAGACAGTGGTTACCCCCAAAAAAGAGAAAAAGTTAAAAAACAAACCACTGGACTTGGGTTTCCAAGTTTGAAGATGTTTTGCTTCACTTTAGCTTTTTCAATTCAAAATGTCTGGATTAGTGCTGAGTTCCAAGCTTTATAGAGTAGCCCAGCAAGGCTTTGTTATGGCTTAGAAAACATGCAAACTGAACCGGAAGAACAGGTCCGCCCCTTACGGATGAGGAGTCATTGGTGTGTTTGTTAGCCTGCATACCCGATACTGGTCTATGCCTTTACTAAGGGGCGGACCTGTTCTTCCGTTTCAATTTGCATGTTTTCTAAGCCATAACAAGGCTTTGTTGGGCGACTCTATGAAGCTTGGAACTCAACGCTAACTCTGACATTTTGAATTGAAAAAGCTTCCTGGATGGGAAGCGAAACATCTTCAAACTTGGAAAGTAAAGTCCAGTGGTTTGTTTTTCAATTTTTTTTGGAATGACTATGACTTAGGTGACTGGGAATTGCCCTTTGGGCAAGTGACTTTCACATTTCATTTGCCCAGAAACAATTTCTACTTGCCCAGTATAATGTTTGATAAATAAAGTTCCTAATGTTCATTTTTGTATATATATCAATGGAACACGCTGAATCACGCCATCTAGCGGAAAATCACTCGGCTTTTTCAAATCACGCGAGAATGTGTACAAAACAATAAAAATGGTGCCGGCAACACTTGTGGGTCGTTTTCAGCGAATGTCTGTGATTTTAAAGTAATTTTGAGTTATAAATAATTTTTTGCCCGGCAGGCAAATGCAATGAAATTTGTAATCTCCCGACAATTAAAACTACTTGCCCTGGGCGATCGAGCAATGGTTAACATTGAGCCCTGACAGTGATTATCATGCATCATCTCCATCTGGTTCGAATGGCCTAGTCAAATCCTGGACCTAAAGCTGACAGGAAGTCAGATACGAGCTGCTTTTCTCAGATGCCTTTTACTAAACGTTTATATATAAACTAGTATACAAAGTGGAAGGGGTGGTTCTAAAAGACTCAGGGAGGTGAACAGAAATAACAGAAAAATGTTTTGGCAGAATCGATCATTTCATCTTGGAAAGAGGAACAGAGAGAATGAAAAGGTTTCAGCTGTTCTGGTTTGTCATGCTGTCTGCTACCGTTTCATTTGTTACAGTGATTGGCTAAAACCAAACTGGTTTAGAAGATTCTGCAAGACAGATTTAGTTGAGGCGGTCTCAGATTGATCATGTTGAAGAAAAGTGTAGAGTTCTACACATTACGGATCTGGCTTGCCAGGTTAGAACAAAAAAATGGATGCTGCACATAATTTTTCAATCTCCTTCCCAATCAAGCTGAACTTTGTGTTGCTGGAATGAAACAGATTGAAGCCTGTGTTTGTAATCAGGTATGAATACTTTTAAAAGGCACTAAACTGGAGGTAGACAGAACCATATGGATGATATAACGGGGGCAGAAACAAAAGAATAACACAAAAAAAGAACAAAGCTTCAATTTTTACCATTCTTTAGTTTATAAACTGAGCCACAAACTTGTCAATTCTACATAATCGTTCAAGTAAATTGTAAAGATAAATCAGTTATGGCCTCGTTTGTCAGCGCAGATCAGCATAAGACACTGATTTAGTATTACACTGCAAAAAATTATCTAAAAATGGAAAAAGTTTTGTAAAATGTGTCTATTTGACCTAAATTTAAGTACATAAATAGAACGATCTGCCAAAGGAAGGTGGATTTTGGCCCTTAGATAACATGCACTTGAAATAAGAGGATTTATTTTTCTTTCTTTAAACATAAATGATCTTATTTCATCAGACTGAAAATTATCTTTCCTTCGTGTTCTAATCAAGCTAATACACATTTATCTCAAGAAAAATGTACTTATATTTTTGCAGTTTATGTTTTCAGTATATAGGGGGCAGCACCAGTTCTAGAGGGGCAGTGGCCCCTGTGGGCCCCCGTGTAGAACCGCCCATGGTTCACCAATCCTTACATACAGTGGCCACGCCTTGAGTTTCCATGCAGTGCCTCTCCCTCCTTTTGCAATCCTTTGTTTGCATTTTGTTTGATTTGTAATAAATGTTCCTTTTTTAATTTAAATTAAGACTTGTGTTTCATTTGTCATTTTTATCATGTAAATGGCTAAAAAAAATAAAGCTAAACAGTCCCCTAAAATAATCGGCCCTGGCCTTATAAAAACCTGCATCAGCCGACATCTACGTTATACATTTTAAACTCAAGGGGCAGCCATTAGCCTACCTGCTCTGCGACAAAGCGGATGCGGCTGTACAGCTCCGACTGCGTGTGGACAGCCTGAGGCTGGTTGTCCCGGTAACCCTTCAGGAACAGGTACTTGAACGCTGCCGTGTTTTCCTCTTGGAACGTCACCACCATCTGGTTGCTCAACCCAAACAGCACCAGCTGGGAGGGAAAAGAAAACCTTAGCTTACAAAAGATGCAAGGAAAGAGCAAAGGGGTCATCTGAGGACTCCTCTGTGGATCATGATGGCGTCTACCTGCACGGTCACAATGATGATTTTTAGCAGCTGAAGGCCCAGCTTGAAAGGCTTGCGTCCCTTGGCGTGGTACTTGTCGCAAGGGCTCATGAAGAAGTACTTGAGTTTTCTCCTCAGATCCTCCTCCTCTTCCTCCTCAGCTTTATTCAGTAGTTGTCGGTGAAACTCCCCGTCCAGCAGAGCGGTGGGATGGTGGCTCCCGCATCCGAGAACATCCTGAGACCCATAGCTGTTCATGGAGGAGAGCAGCCTTTGTTTTTCTAAAAGAAAGAAAAAAGATCATAGATCAGAGCAGAACCCAGGTGGTCTAATGAACGCAACAATTATGATAGCTATATGAGTTAAAAAAAGCAGTTCTTCAGTGTAGGGCAGAGGTCACGGGTTAGGGTCACCTGCTTTATCATCAGAAACCGAAGCTGATTTAAAACATTTATAAATCACCACGTTATCCGACGGCAGTGTCTAATTTCACTTTCGCTTCTTCTGTTTGTATGGTAAAGCCCTCCAGGACCAGGCTACGCGTGAAAGAAATTAGCCAATGAGCTGCTGTCAGTCTGGGTTGCTGCTGCTGCTACTTTTAGACACAACAGGCAAACCTGTGGCAAGCCGGGCGATGAATAACGAGGATGAGAAAATGTGAAAGAAAGTGTGGACTGCTGGAAGAACTGCGGTGAACTGGTGAAAGAAAAGTGATATGGCGTGCTCAAAGGTGATCCTGCACATTTTGAGTATGTTTGGCTCAACCTGCTGCTGTGAAGCAGGATTCACCACCATGAACAGAATCAAAAATAAATATGGATCCAGGCTCAAAATTAGAATGGCTTAGTCTCCATTCTAACCAGGTTTAAAGCCTTGCAGGGCAGCATAAAGCCCACTGCTCTCATTAAGCAGTTCAGTTGTTTTTTAAAGTATGTGAGTCAGGAAACTGCCCTAAAAACATTAAATTAACATCAAGCACAGCATTCTTCAACTAATACAAAACACAGCAAAATCGTATTTTTTCTTTTTTGATTGATTTCTGTTTTTTTAAGTTATTTCAACATAGTACCAAAGTACCAACAGATTGACAACAAGCTTGACAAAGCCATGATGGCAATTATTTTTCATCCGAGTAGTATGCAGTCCTTCATATATACCAAGGGCGTAGGTTTGATTTCAGCTTTGGTAGAGACATTATTGGTCTTCAGTTTCATTGCTCTAATGTCATTGGTCCTTTGCAAAAATATGCTTGCTCTTTTTCTATGCTTAATCATTCGCCTTTTTTTAAAGAGAACAGCAGCATTTCTTCTACATTAATACAAATTTTATAAGCACTACACACACTAGATGTTGCTTATCAATGTTTAAAGCATCATTGGCTCTAATCAATGTGCAATTGGGACTTTTTTCCACTTTGAAAAGGTTTGCATTTAAACTTACCAGTGCCTATTTAACCAAATATAGTCTAAATATTAGGGGTGTGCATTGGCACTGCCCTCACGATTCGATTCGATTACGATTCACCAGGTAACGATTCGATTCAATTCGATTCTATGATGCATTGCGATGCATCAAAATCCCATTGACTTCGTAAAATCCGAAATGTGCCCAGATATCCGCTTTCCAAGCTTTTGGTGCGTTTTTAATTAGGCCTACCCATCTATCGCGGTCATCTCCCTCTGCCTCAGCCATCTTGATTGTTGTTGGTATGCCCCCGGAAGTAATTGAAACTTCACAACTTGTCCATTTGAGGCCAGAAAATAAACAATGACATAATCGATTATGGCAAGTTGCCGCATCGATGCTGAATCGTGCATGCCCCGCATTGCAATGCATCGCTGAATCGATTATTGTTGACACCCCTACTAAATATGTCTGTTATATGTGGATTTATCCTGTGTTTACTTTTGAAGATATAGAATTGTGCAGAGGTAAACCCCACTCTTATTTTTTATCTAATATGCTCTCTTTATGTCATGCAAAATAATACATTCAAGGGACAGCAAAATAAATGTATTGTATTTAGGGATGCATGATAATGGGATTTTGGCCGATATCCGATATGCCGATATTTTAAAACTCATGTAGCCGATAACTGATATCGATACCGATGTTAAACCTGGACAAAAATAAGTAGTCATTGAAAATAGCAGTTTTATTATCCATTTCTGACACTTTGAAAAATAATATACTCAAATATATTTTCATATGCGGATATCAAATTGATTTTTAAAAACGCGGTATCGATCTATTTTACTTTCAAAATTTCATCGTTCAGTTGCAAACTCTTGTGATATTTATCAAATTCTTGTGAGATTTTGTTAGTAAAATAGATCGATACCGCGTCAATATATCAACATATAAAAATATGGCAAAATTTCGTGAATTTTCGGGGGATTTCGTAGCATAACGATGACATATAGCAATATTTCATTAGTAAAAGAGATTGATATGGTGTTTTTAATATATCAGCTTATGAAGATATTGTGATATTTTAATGTATCAATATTTTTTCCCTCGTCTTTAGAAGTTTTTAAGTCTGTAAAAAAGAAGTTTTTGAGGAAGAACAAGAAGTAGTATTTTTTTTTTTTTTTAGACTTAAGAAACTCAGAAGCTGATCAAATATCGGTTAAATATCGGTGGGGTGGCCGATGTCCGATACTCAGTTTTAAGGCCGATACAGGCCGATACCGATAGGGGGCCGATTATATCCTGCATCCCTAATTGTATTTCCATCTGCACTGGAACGATCAGAGGAACTGACACTGAGCATTTTGAAATATTAACTTCACTATACAAGTTATACATCTGGGCTGTAGTTATTTGTGTCGCCCATTTCATGTATTTTATCTATGGCTGAAACAATTAATCATATTAACTGATTATTTGAATAATCGTCAACTAATTTAGTAATTGATAAATCATTAACTGGAGTATAGGGCCACTAAAATGTGCCTTTAGCCGACAGAGCAACCCACTTAGAGCAGGAATTATACCAAGATTGTAAAAAAATATGTAAACATTTTGCATTTAAGCGTTTCTGTTTCACCTGGTTTCATTTTGTAAAATATCTTCTTTAAGGAGCCTTTGGCTTTCTGATTAAAAGATAAAATAAAAGAAATCCTAATGTTCTAAATCAAAAAAACTCTTTTCTGCTTCTTTACAGAACTGCAATCAGAAGCTTTCGCCTGTTTTAGCGTAGATAATATTTAGTTTTTTAATTTGGACTTGTTTCGTAGCCTAATATTAATTTATTTTAGCCTATTTTTTTTTCACTCTTCAAGCACACGCACACACAGACTAGAAAACAAGCAGTCAGAAAGAGAGAAGGTGGAACTTAAGGCAGAATATTCACAGCTGATGCAAAGGGACAGGAAAGAGCAGGCAGCTGCAGCTTCCAGGGAGAGGAGCTGAGAGAGGAAAAGGAGCCACTGCTGCAAAAACTACTGCTGTTAGTAAATTATAAACATGTTATTCACATCAAATTATTGGTGGGGACAAATAGGTCTGTCCAAAATTTTAGTAGGGACATGTCCCTATGGTCCCTATGCAAACCTATGATATATACACGTACACATCAATTTCAAACAGATGGTATCGATATGGGCCGATACTGCACAGCCAGGTATCGGGCCAAAAAAATGGCATCGGTGCAAAACTAATTTAAAACCCTTGCTTAAAATAAAATTATTTTTATCACTAAATATAAACTAATATATACATAAATCTAAGATGTAAATAAATATAAATTTCCCTTTAGAATAAACTAAATCTCAAATGACAAAGAGCTGTTATTATGATCCTGATGAGCCACAGCAGCAGAGTCTACATGGCGCAGATCTATGCTCCATCAATCTGTGTCACTCTTCTCTAAATGTTAGATCACTAATGCGTCACAAATATTACCAGAAACATTACATTGTTATTATTATTATAGACTGGATAAGGGGATTATCTTTTGTTGTGGTTGTAGATTTAGTGAGAATATTGCAAACAGAGCTGCGCTGTTCTCTATCAGTCCAGCTGAAACACAAAGGAAGCCTAACAATGGTGGGATAATGAGTTTAAATAAAGGCAAACATCAGACATTAAAGAAAAGAACCGTAGATAAAGGCTGAGAGGAAGCGGGGCGGACCTGTGGCGCTGTCCGGGATGCAGGTGGACGCCATGGCGGTGACCGAGGTGGCTGATGGGTCATCACCCGCGGAGGGAAGGCGAACAGCAGCCGGCTACGACCTCAGATCTGCTCTGCTGATAACGGCTCTGATGGAGGATGCTCGGCGGAGGCGCACCAAGGTAAACACACCGCAGCTTCCTGGTAGTCACGTGACCGCGGCTACGTCACTAACCTGCCACGGAAATGAGCGCTGCCTTCAAACAGAGGCGGAGCCAGAATATTTCTATAAGGGGGGCCAGGCAATAACTAATGTATGTTTACACCTAAACAGTGGTGTTAAAAGTACACACAGTTGTTACTTAAGTAGAAGTATAGATACTGCGGTTTAAAAACACTCTGGGAAAAGGTCAGTCAAAAGATTCAGTCAAGATGTGGGAGTTTGTAGGAGAGAAGCTTCTCTCCTAGCTGTCAGCTGGATAGAGTTTGGATAGATTCTAAGAATAGATTGGTTGTTTTTCCAACCAATCTAGTTGCTTTAAACTATTTTGGTTAGAATAAACAATGTAATGATCAAAATCTGAGCAAGCCACTGGACACAGTTGTAACACTAGTGTTAAGAACTATTTTCTCTGTGGAACAACTGACCACACAAGTGGCATTATCTGTAACCACAGACTCCTTCTCCTGAGGTTGATGGTTCAATACCCATCTTTGGCTTTTGAAAGTTGAGATTATACTTAATTACTTTGGCTGATGAGACTTATTTGCATTAGGTTGCCCTCGTAAAAATATAGATTGGCTAAAAATGCTGCCAAATTACGTCGGTTAAGCCAAAAGGTTGGTTGAACACAACTTCCAACCCGAGTAAAACCAGAAAATGTGGAAAAAACTAATATGTTTGAATAAAAATGACTAACACCTTTCATTTTGCTCATCATTGCCCAACTTGCACAAACACTTTCACTGTCTGCTTGAGTTGATTTCACTAAAATGGCAGAAAAACAATGATTGTTCTAAGACATTTTACACTTTAAAAACTTATAAAAGATTTTATTATACACACCAACCATTAACAATTTCAAAGGAAGTTAAAAGTGGGAAAAAAAGAAAAAGAATTGCAAAAAAAAAAAAAAACTGTAATTCTGCATTCTACCAGTAGGTGGTGACATGTTCACATGGAGCTTCATGGGATCATTGAAGCAATTTGGCCAAACGGTTCAATGCTTCATGAGGCTTCATCTCACCATCACTACCAAAATTCTTTGAGATAGGGCCAAGGATGAGGGAAGTCTTGTTGGTCTCCGTCTCCATCTCCCGATACTCTCTCGCCTGTGTCCGACCTTTCAGACATTTGACCATCTTTTTCTGAATCCGTCATTGTAGCATGGCATAACTTCTTCCTCTAGAATTTTTTTTTGGCGGTTGGCAAAAACCTTATGTGAGCATTACCGCCACCAACTGGTAAGGAAGGTGGACCACAGGGCAACCCCCCAAAAAAACACTATATCCTGTTATATAATTTAATCTGTTTTAAAAACTCAAATATAACCTGGTATCCTCTGCTTCCAATTTCCCTTTGCATTAAATAAACAATGTAAAGTTTCATTTTCATATTACTGACTTTCCTAATTAACTTACAACTCCTCTGTTTTATCTTCCCCACAGACACATTTCCCTGTTTGATCTTTCCCTATTAAAAATAATGATCTAATCAATCCTATGTGTCCGATTCTAAGTCGTGAAATAATTATCTCTCCTCTTCTGTTCCTTTCTGTTCTTCTCATTTGTCCAATTCTCATTTGGATTTTATAGAACCACCTTCCTTTCTTTTCTTCTTCCCATAACTTTTGCCACCTCTCTTTTGTTAATTATACCCTCTATTTCTGTTATACTAAACTAACATTAATATCTATCCTTACCTTATTTGTACTCTCCTTATCCATCCGGTCTGCCATTTCATTTCCCTTAATCTCGTTATGTGTCGAAACCCAAACAAAAATTACTACTAGCCCCATCATATTTATTCTGTAAAGTGTTTGTAGTATTTCAAGTAATATATCTGGCCTACTGTCTGAATGATTATTTTTCAAACTGACTAATGAAGAACTAGAATCTGAACAAATGATAGATTTTAATTGTCTTGCCTCTTCCACCCATTGAACTGCTAAAGCAAAGCTAGCATTTCTCCTGTATTCACTGAAACTCCATAAACACCTGCTTGCTTCTGATGATTTCCTTTAGCTACAGTAATTAACACAATGACACTAGTTTTCACTAGATGTGGATGGAGCCAATGATCTGCATTGGATGGAGCACATGACGTGAAATAAATATTTAAAAACATAAAGCCGAAGCCACCAGTAACAAGAAATGTTTGCTTTAAAAATGTAAGGAATAGAAAGCACAGATACTTGTGTGAAAATGTAATGATTAGAAGTCAGAAGTAGGAAGAAAAATAATTAATGGAGTAAAGTATATATACCTAAAAAGTGTACTTAAGTACAGTATTTGTACTTCGCTACTTGACACCTCTGTACCTAAAGCAGCAAGAGCAGCAAAAATGCGCGTTCTGCTTCATTTTTGATGCTTGTACAAGTCTAGTTCTGATGTGCGGCTGAAGCATCTTTGCAGCTCTTGCCGGAAAGTGGAAAAAGTGGGCCTGATGCGAGTTGGGCGGAGCTACTCTATCCTTTCTGTGCCTGTAACAATGGCGGCTATATTTGCTGTGATCAGTGGGTAAAAAGTAGTTTTAATATGTTTTTAAGTGAGAAAGTCCACCTCAGAACTTCATCAGTGCAGTCAGTTCATCCAGATTACCATCCTGCCTTCAAAGCAGCACCTCTTTTTCATGTACGTCATCCAAACTGCAGGCACTTGGATAATAAAAACGAACATGTTTTGCCTGCAGATTTCGGCATTTTAAGTTAATTTAGGAGTTAATAAACAGTTTCAGAGGAGCAATCATAGTGCTCCGCCCCATCTGCCCCATGCCTGTTTTTGCCTAGGGCCCCAAATCTCCTAAATCCACCCCTGGTCTTATGTTTACTGTAACACTTTATATGTTTAAGCCTTGCAAAACATTGCAGCCATTGTGGGTTCAGTTGCCCTCAGATTCCTAATGAACGGCTTATAAATGTACCACAATTATTCAGGTAAATTAATTCTTTCTGTAAGTACTATTAATGAACATTTAATAAAGACTAAACATCATTTTTTTGTTTATCTCATTTTTAAAATACTGCTACTATAAAAGTATTCACATCCTTTACAAATTTATTTGATTTGGCTGAGATCATTCCTACAGTGAGGCACGGTGGGGGGAGCATCATGTAACAGTCAAGATGACGAGGGAGTGTCTCCTGGATCCTGTCTGGAAATATTGGAGAGTAAAGTTCCAGGAAAGCAACTTTTTTACTGCTGCCTCCAGCGTATATCTGTGGTGAGCTACGGTTCCAGACAGACATTGAAGCTCAGCTTTCTCACCGCAGTTCTTTGAAAATGGCCGAGGGTCGTAAGAAAAAAAGTGTTTTTGAAGAGTATGAGAAGAAAAGAAAGGCTTCAGAAAAGGCAGATATATCCCAGAATGCTTTGCGCCGAGAGCTCTCCTCGCAAAGCATTATGGGATGTGCTGTCACTGCGGCCCGCTGTCGCCATAGCGACTAATAACAAAGATGATGCAGGCACTGCACGGTGGAGGAGGAGCTATGTGACCAACGGGGAGCAAAAAGAAGTGATTATCTGTCCAAACGGTCAATTAACTGAGTTCACTATTAAGTTCACTATACAGTCCCCATTCTATGACGTGATGGAGGGATTTACAGGTTAGGGCAGAAGTTCGGGCACAGAAAGTTTGTATGAGCTTTGAGAACAGCACATTTTAAACAGATTTTGCACGAGGAGAAATTAGCTCGTGCACGCTCTCGCACACGCATTTTTTCTTTTAAGCGGAGAGGAAATCCTTCACAATACCTTTCAGTTAGTTAGAAAAAACTTGTCTAAGACAGAACAGACAGAAGAAGGTTTCCCTTACAAGGATTAATAAATGCTGCTTGAATGAAGAGATTATCTCCCTTTATCGGTCATATAAGACTTAGACTTTTTATTCTGATAAAACAATAATACATGTGGTATTACCTACAATTGATTAGTTAAATTATATACCCCAAATATTTTTAATTTATACCTTATCCTGGACCTTGTAGAAATTAGGCAAAACTTTGTATAGTAGGGGGAAAAAAAACGACATTTGCCAAAAAAGTATTTGTTTTATTAAATCTCAATAAAGGTTGGGAGAGGAAAGCTGATTTAATTACACATTACTTCAGCTCATTCTGTTGTATTTAATTGGGAAAAAATAAGATAAATGGTCTGGTCATTGTTTCTTTTTACTTCCATCATTTTAATAAATGTGTTTTTTAACTTAGCCACTCTTGGAAAAATGCTGAGATCCACAACATGAATTATTTTATTAAAATTACACAAATATATTTGAAAAAGAATGCTTTATTATTACACATATACAGTAAAAAAAAAAAAAAAACTTCTGTCTTAATGTAACATGAATCAAACACACTAAAAGCAAAAAGACTGAATAAAAATGAGCAGAAATTCTGCATTTTTAATCTTTGATGTTCGTATACTGATGTGAATATTCATTACTGCATTTTTGTTGAGGGTTAATACATCTACAAATGATATTTACAATGTCTGATTAGTTAAGGTATTCCACTGCTGCCCCCTGCTGGTTTAGAGCAGAACTGCTTGTTCTGAGGGTGGTGAATTATTGACCTGAAAACAAACAAACAACCTGGTGGGAGCGGCCACCCCCGGCCTCCCTCTAGCTCTGCCCCTGCTGGTGCAGGAACATTTTCTGGAAATATGAAAATTATATTCAAACCTTGAAGCAGAAAGTTAAAGCTAAAGCTCAAGTGGTTATTTTAAAAGGACAATGATGGAAAGCAGGCCACCAAGTCAGCTCCAATGAAGTCTGTGTTTTAGAATGGCCATCACAACGCTGGGATCCAGAGCTGGAAAGGTGAGAGAGATCCGACAAAGCTGGTCCAAAACCGTGTAGCAACCTGAACACGCTCTGGTTTGGTGACTCTTCCAGTTTCAATCTCTGATTTTCACATTTTGGTCATAATAAAACATGCTTGCATCAAACATCCATCTTAGGCATTTCTTGCTTCCATAAAGCCTCACGGCACCTGTACTGTACTAAAAGATCCATTTCAACCATGATGAAGATTACAAGATTATAATGGAAGATAAACTTCTTTTATTAGACATGCAGTAAAATAAATTTGAAGTGATAAAATTAATAATAAATAAAAAAGGAAATCGTGATGAGGGCTGAACAGTGGAGCAATGGGTAGCACTGCTGCCTTGCAGCAAGAAGGTTCCAGGTTCAATTCAAAGCCTGGGGTCTTTTTGCATGAAGTTTGCATGTTCTCCCTGAGCATGCATGGGTTCTCTCAGGGTACCCCAGCTTCCTCCTACAGTCCAAAAACTGTTAGTTTAATTGGCTTCTCTAAATTCTCCTTGTGTGAATGGTTGTTTGTCCTGTTTGTCTCTGTGTTGCCCTGCGATGGACTGGCGACCTGTCCAGGGTGTAGCCCGCCTCTCGCCCATAGACAGCTGGAGATAGACACCAGCACCCCTCGTGACCCCCACTTGGGGATTAAGTGTGTCAGAAAATGGATGGATGGATAATTAAAATGCAGCATATCCATATTTTTCTGTATGGATGGAACTGAAATTGTACTTCTAGGGATGCATCATTTTTGGCATTGAAATCGGCTGTTATTCGTTATTTTTCATACATTAATGTTTTTGTGCCCTATAATGTAATGCACTAAAGGGCAACTGTCTAACTATCTATAAATATCTATAAACATCGTTGTTTTATTGTTTTTCTTATTTATCTATTTTTTTTTTTTTCTCTTAGGTAAGACAGGAAGTAATGTGGGTCAGTCCGCTTTCTATAAGTGTAGGGGGCCCTGGGAAGGGACCAGCAGGCATGTGGGTTTGGGGCCTATGGTTTTTACCAGAGCAAGAGAGGTAGCAGAAAGGACAAAGGAAAGTTTGAACTCTGTAATTGTTGGCTGAAAAGGAAAACAAATCATCCAGAACAATCAACAACTTTGGACATTGAACCTTCTTTTGCCTGCGTACAGAAACTTGACCCCAGTGCCTTAGTAGTGGCTTAATGGAACCTTTATTCTTTTGATGCTTAGCAAACAATCGCCACTACAATTATTATATATTTATTTGAGTATAGTGAGACCAGTTTTTCTGTAAAGACTTTCAAGTTGCTGCCCTTTGGCTTTCATGCGTCGGAGATCGGTTGTGAACCAGGGGGTGTAGAAACCAATCAGTTTTTTAGGGAGTGGATTTGTTGAGCTCAGAGAAGTCTTGGGGCTGTTGCCAGGTCTCAGTTAAGCAGAGAAAGTCCAGCTTGCAGTCGGTGATGAAGTCCTGAATGAGACGTTCCTTGCTTGTCAGTGAGTGGATGTTAAGCAGAGCAAAGTTGTGTGCGGTGTTGTTGCAGCAGGTGGTGGTGCTAGCCGATGGAGCTAGGCCGGCTAAGACGCTGTGGTTAACAGCCCGGCAGGTTGAGCTTGGAGGGAGACGAATCCACCGTCTGGAGCTGGACCAGATGGATTTTTATTGCCTTTGGATCGTTGAGGTGGTCAATCCGGTGGGACCCTCAGTGGATGTATTTCTGGCGAGGCTGGAAGGTGATTTAAATACAAAAATACCAGCGAGCGTCGGCAGCAAGTTGTGCCAGCATCACTCATCAACCACGAACTAGAACTAGAAGCTCAAAGAGCAAAACCAGGGCAGCAGATGCTTTCTTCGGCACCTTTGATCAGTATTGTTCTTCCTAAACTGAAAACCTCAAAATGTAGTTTTCTAAAGAAAATAAAAAAAGAAGAAAGATCTACCCTGTCTGTGCCCCAATTTTATTTCCAAATCTCTGCTATGCACGCCATAAACATAACTATATCCTGACCTAGGAACTGTCCCAATTAGATGGAAAAACATTTGCTTTGACAGAAACAGGCAGGTAATATAACAGACTCACATATACAATATCAAAATATTATCTAAACAGGCATTGATTTCTTCCTTTGTCATTTCGACACAAGGATCTTAATTTCGTCCCTGATTTTCATTTCGCCCTCAGTCTCAGCTTCATTTAGGGCAAAATCTGGATACACCAAATTATTTGTTGAGCTGCTTTCCTGATCTACTTGAGGTACTGGATGGGTTAAAGATTTTCCTCAGACCTTTCTAGTTCAAACATAGCTTTGACCCCAACAATAAACCCATCCTCCTCTTCTGTGCATTTCTCATTGATACAGATAAACCCACTGATGCAAATATCTGCTGTAAAGTCTCTGCTTACAGTTATACTTTCATCTTCAGCCCTAAATACCAACTGTCTGTGCATCTTGTAAAAGTCAAAAGTCTGGGAACTTAGGAATGTGCTGCAAATGCCAGAGGACAGATGGTACAACTGGGATCCATTTTCTAAAGGAATGTCAATGGTTGGACTAGGAATTACAGGATGTGTTAAATGCGTCTCTCCGATTGACCGTTCCAGATAAAAAGTATCACATCAGTGTCATAAAGGCACTGTTTTCTTTTTAAGGTGGAGTGGCAAATATTCCAGCTCTCTAGGGGACACTTAGCAATCCAAGGGTTAAAAAGAGAAACAATGCTGTAGTTTTCCCTGCACTTGGTAGAGGGAAGATGGAAGCACAATTCTGGGATGAAAATGAATCCCTCTGACGTCCTTCAGTTGTGTGCACCCAGCATAGAGTCAATACCACATGGATCATTTAACCTGTCCAAATTAGACCTTAAGAACAATGTTACGCAGAAATCTTTAGAAATTAGCTTTTCAGAAATTTCTATGGGAACTTGGGAAACTCTTTCCGGGGGGAAATATGTCCCTAGATGGTGGATAGATGTACGGAGAAGGCTGTTAAATAACGGAGTGTCAAAGAAATTATCAGCAACCCCATCACGATTCTGGGTCCTTAACTTCCTTGGAGAATGCTCAGTGATGTGGCATCTGGTGTTTCAGCTGTGCAGGCGTCATTTTTAACTTAATTTAGGATCGAATCTGGTCAGACCAAATCACTTCTATTATCATCCTCTTCTGTAGAGATGATTTGCTCATCCTGGGAACTTAGATCAGCCATCACATTTTCTTCAAAATCATGGGAAAATAGCTTTCCACAGGAGAGGAGCCTGATAACAGACTGCAGATTGAGAGCAAAGTGCTCTGTTTTGTGTTCCTCTAATCTCATACAGGCATTGAAGCCGACTTCTAGGATTTATTGTATATCTTCGGTGTTGTCTATTGTCACATGGGAGCTGGCTTGGAGCTTGTCTGCTTGCTGTGCGTTTCCTGGACGGGGCCGCCTGTGGAGCTGGTTTACAGTCGCCTTTTGTTTTTATTTTTTTATTTATTTAATCAGGACAGAGCACATTATTGAACAATCTTATACTTCTGTACAGATTGTAAATGAGCCAGATTGTAGCATAGTTGCTAATTTACATCTGTCATCCTGAGGCAGGAAGACAAAACAACACAAGATCACATACAGTATCAGTCAAAACACATAGATACACGTTCAGACAATGATATTACAACAATAAAATTAGTGAGTGCATGACTGGGAGCTTTTAAGAAACTGTTTAAGGTGCTTTTGAAATGTGCAATAAGTGGGACATTCCCTGATGTTTGTTGTGAGGCTGTTCCAGAAGTGACCCCCTCTGACTGATAGAACGATTTGTCCAAAGGTTGTTCTTCTGTGGGGGATCTCTAGGTCTCCTCTGGAAGAGGCTCTGGTGCAAATACGTCTGCCATGTCTAATGTAGGTAGAAAGTGGAGGTGGGGCTAATCCATTCAGAACTTAGTAAATTGAAGGAATATTTTTTAAATGAATAAAATTTTTAAAATTGGGCATATTATATTTTTCCAAAATATTACACTGATGGAATGACAGGGGCTTTTGATCAAAGATTTTTAAAGATTTTTTGAATAATATTTCTATTGATTTTGTATCTCTGCTTCTGTCTCCTTGAACCCCAGTCGGCCTCAGCAGATGGCCGCTCACACTGAGGCTGGTTCTACTGGAGGTTTCTACTTGTTAAAGGGGAGTTTTTCCTCTCCACTGTCGCTGCAAGCATGCTTAGTGTGAGGGATTGCCCTCAAGTCAATGAGTCGATGCAATCAACTGGTTTTCCTTAGATAGAAAACTTTTCAATTTGACTATATGATCTGGTTGAATTGTAAAGTACCTTGAGATGACATGTTGTGAATTGGCGCTATAGAAATAAATAGAATTATTTTTGCTTTTTTGTTTTCTCTCATTTCATGCACTCATTCCTGTCTCCATTTCTTTCTCTCTCCCCTTACTTCTTATCCCCTTTCTAACCTTCCTTTCCATCTCCATGTCCATTCTACACAATTTTACTCCCTAAATATTTTCCAATAATGTTTAATATACAAGTATAAAGCAGAACATTATGGCAGCAGTCATAATGGTCTACTCATGAGGCAAAGATGTGAGGCTATCATCAAGCTCAGGGATATCTATTCCCAGAGCTATATTAGCAAAACAGGACACACATACAAAAAAAGGTTATGATTTTGACTTGCAATAACTTATTCTAGGCTCAAACTGTAGATAAAAGTGACCTAAATCTGATTTTTATGTCCAAATTCGCTGATATCTGACTTTTTCAGGCAGACAGAATGGCCCACTTGTGATCTTTTCACCTGAAAACCCTCCAGAATTATACCACCTTGTAATGTGGTGCGAAATCAGCTGCATAAGCAGTAGTTTTTAGAATGTCTGTGGCAGTGGTGGCTGTAGACCAGAACAAAACAACAAACAGGACAATAGTTGATTTACTAATAAAGGTGTGGAACCAAAGAGACGAATGTGACTCCAGATATAGCAGAATAAAATGTGGAGGAGCAAAATTCTTTAACTGGGATCCGCACAATCTTAAACACCAACCTTATTTATCCCTGCAGAGATCAATCAACCACTATCAATGTTCTAAACATTTCATTTATAATAAAGACTGTTAGTTTATGCAGTTCAAACAAGTTTTTATTTTTTCAGTTAATTTTCATCAACATAAGACCCAAACATTGAAGGCATATTGAGATCCTTTAACAACTTTTGTAAAGAAAATCTCAGTCAAAATTGGAATGGACATTTCAGGCTTCATAGGGATCTGCAATCAGTTCCTCCCTAAAACGATGATCCCGTCTCAATACCACTGGAGCTAAAAGTGAAACACCTTTATTTTGAAATCACTGTTGAATTAAGTGTGAAGGTAAAAATATAAAATAGATCTAAGGGAACTTTCAGTGATGGTTTCTGTTTCTGAAAACATATTTAGTATTATGTCTTAAGTAAAGGGGCCAGTTAATCAAACCAATTACTAAATTAGTTGACGCTTATTTCAATAATCGATTAATCAACATGAATCTGATTATTATTCCAGTCCTAATCCAGTCACACCTCCAGAAAACACACTGGGAATAATTATGTTCTTTTTTACCTTCCTTCATCCTATCCTAAGATCTGGGCTGAAACAAATGTCAACTAATAGAGTTTAATGGATTAATTGTTGAGTATAGAGTAAAAGATGTCTTTAGCTCACAGAGAAACCAACTCAAAGCAGTTATTAGGGAAAAACGGTTAAAAAAAAAATCCAAATGTTTTGCTTTTAAAGGTAAAAAAAACCCTTTTGGTCTATTTAAATAATCAATCCTGAAGTCCTCAAATAGCGTAGTTTTCACTTCACTTGGTTTAAATTCTGTGTTAAATCTTCTTTAGGAAACCTTTTTTTATCCCGTTATTAATCCAAAAAGAGTCGACAGATCAATCAATTAGCAAAATAGTGCTTAGCTGCAGCCCTTATATGATCATAAACAACTTATATTCTGCACAGTTCCCTACTGTGAGACATCTACACTAGGGCTGGGTAAAAAAAAATCAATTTAAGCGATTTTGAATAGATTCCTTTACATTTTTGCAAAATCAATGTCTAGGGAATGAGATCGATCGAGTTTTATAGTGACGTGTGTGATGTTCACATTCAAATGAGCAGGAAAGATGCATTCATACTTCAAGCTAGATAGCTAATATGTTGATTGAAGACATTTACAAATGGAGGCTGACCAGAAAACACCCTGTAGTTGTTACAATGCTGCAAATATGGTTTTTGCAGTGAAGATAATGCAGATCATCATGCATGTCTGCTTGCTCATGTGAGGCTTTTTCACTTTTCACAAACAAGTTTGCACTTTTGAGACAGTTTTGTTCACATCTCAAGTTTAAACTGTCCGATACAAGTTTGCACTTTGTGTTTAATGTGACAGGAAAAAAATAAAATAAGTGTTTTGAAACACAGTTGAACCACTTTCATTATTGTAAATTCAGATCGAATCGAAATTATTTGATTTAGAAAGGTATGAATCAAAATCGAATCAATTCAGGACTTCAGCCCTAGTCTATACCTTCCTTCTGCCCATTGGCGTCACACCGAGGCAAACGCTCAGCCTGGAGTCTGATGGTGACTGTATGAAATATTAGTCTGAATGAGCATGCAGAGAAAGAAGTCTGATTTCATAAAAAAAAAATCGAATGACTGACTGGTTCCAATCCCTGACTTCATTTAATGGGTTAATTAAAAAGATATCTGCAGTAGGGGAAGTGGTGAGCCTTAAAAAAAAGATATTTACAGCACATTATTGATCATGAATTAAGGAGCAATTTATTCATCAGCCAAAGTTTTATTTATATTTAATTAAAGATTCGAAACAAAAGCAAACAACACATCCTATAAAGAACAACACATTAAATGATCCATAAACTCATCTGTTATAACTGGACCTCTGTACGTCTGGGTCAGAACCTCTTCACCCCGCCGGTCTGCAGTCTCTACCTGCCATCCAGAGCCTTGTCTCTGGCTATAACCGACTCGTTGAACTTGATCATCAGGGTGGTGCCTTTGTGCCAGTGGGCGGTGACCTTGGCGGGGAAGCCGCTGTGAGTGAGGATGGCCTCCACCACGCCTGCAGTGAAGGCCGCACAGTTCAAGCTGCTGTTCTCTTTGGGAACGGAGATGTAGGCGTTGATGAGAGGATCTTTCTCGATGATGTAATAAGTCTTGTCGTCGTCATTGGCTTGCTCCAGCTTGTCAGCCTCTTTACCAAATAAAGACTTCCACACATTGACCTGCAGGAAAAAGAACAAATAAATACGTTTTAGCTTTTAAGACAAAGCATCTCAGCCCCTGACTGATCTTAGAGAGCCGCTCACCTTGATGAAGAGCAGCATGTTCAGCACTTTGGTCTCCCTCTTCCCATTCTTCTCTCTCAGCACCAGAACGTCCAGCATGCTGGCTCCCACACGCTGACCCATCTCTGCCAGCCGGGTCTGCAGCTCGCTCACAGAGTACACCCGGCTCTGGCAGTACTGGACCATCTCTGAGAACAGCAAGGCGAAGGCGCTCAGGCTCACTTCAGTTTTGGGTCGGCTCAAAGGTCGCTCCAGAATGGTGGACTTTCCTCTAGTGAAGCGCGAGTCCATCGTTTTCTGTTGGAGAGACTGACTGTGGGTCACTGCAAATCAAAAACTCTTTGTTATGGTCAGAGAAACGATCCAAACTTCTTCGGTAACTGTATGTAGTCTGATCTATGAAACTATAACAGAGGAATCAGATAATTTCAACTTTAAAGTTGAGATCTCTGTATTTCTTTTTGCAGATGTTTTGGGTTTGGGATGGAACCAGATTTATCCACTTATAGCCACACCAGGGTTTATACAGGAATGAATAACTTAAATTTAATGCTTTTTAATGCTCTTAGAAATTATTCTAGTGCCACCAACAGGTACCCGTCGACAGGCTGCAGCCATGTCCCTAATTCTCTACAGCTTTTTCTCTGACTCAAGCTTCTTTTCTGAACATACAGCTTTGCGATCAAGCAGTTCCACGCAAATATATTGTGATAGAATATGTCTGATGAAATTGTTTTTATAAAAAATGTTTTTTTAATAAAGCATTTTAAATGCCACAAAACACATTTAATGAATTTTAATGCCAATTAAGGCCTTAAACAATAATAATTTAATTACTTTTAATGACCCGCAGAAACCTTGCACACTTTATATGCTGACTGGTTGAAATACAATGATTTGATACCTGGATATCAGCTCAAATAATGAATAATTAGCTGGGTCAGATATTTGAGATATAATCCAGTGCACTTTAAATGGAACTGTTTTTTTTTTTTTTTTTTTGCTGCTTATTATATTTTTTTAAGTCATATAAAATACATTTTTATCTGTGTCAATTTGTTATCTTTTTTCCCAACTATTTTAAGTGCTAAATCTTTGTTATTTAACAAACAGAGCTCTTTAAATGATACAAATAATTATATCTAATTTGTTGAAATCAGGCAAGTATTGGCAGATTATATAATAAATCAAGTTAATCACAATTATGGACAATAGAAAAAGAATTGGAAATAACTGAAAATTCTTTACAAATTAAAGGACACATTAAAAAGAATATTAAAAGGATGATTACTTTTTTATTCAAATAGATATTTAAAAATGAAACTTTAAAAGTATTTAGGTGGATAATTTGTTTCTCTTCAAATGATTACATAAAGAACAACCATAGTTTAAAGTAAGCTGAACAATTCCATGCAAAAATAAGCAAATTGTTTAATATATAAAATTATAGGTTGTGATCTCATATTTCCAGCTATTTAAAAAGCCATTAAATTAACAATTACTGAAAATATTAAATCAAAAGCTTAAGTTATATATTAAGATAAATATTTTTACCATTTCATTTTTGGCCTGATGATCAGAGGACACAGCTTTGTTTGTCACTCTGTGGATTGTTCCACATTAATTATAGATAAACCCCAACAAACTGATGAATAACAGCAACTACTTCTCCAAAATAATCACAGAGTTAGTTAAACACAGACTTAGAGCCACAATCAGCTGCTTTTATGGAGGTACAAGTAGCATCTAAGTGCTACTGTTCCCTTTAAATCAGCTGAAAGCAGCAAACCTGACCTTCCCATTCTGGACTTCGTTTTAAAGGAAAATACCATCTATTTATTATTATTATTTTTTTCAAATACCCCGAAAAACTAATAGACCATATATTTATCTTTTCCTGATTTTTCAACCCCCTTTAGTTAAAATGTTTCTGTTTTTTTTATTCATAATTGCGGAAATAACGAACAGTATTATCGCAGCTAGAAAGCGATAAATCACGAATATCGTCACGTTTAAGCCTTTAGCTGTTAGTCAGACACAAATTATACTAAATTCCCTAAATGTTAAACATGTCAAATCATAAATCTATGCTTAAAACCCAGTCCTTCCGCTGCCAACTGCTAGTTCTTAGCAGCTTAGCTAGCCAGAAACACCCCTCATTATACCCGTAGCCGAATAATAAAACATTACTCTGCTCAAAACGAGTAGTAAACAATTATTTGAAATAAACTGTTTAACGTAACAGAGTTTAAATCACATAAACGGACCTTACTGGAGGTAAAACAGTTGTGTTGAAACGATCCTTCCTGTTTCCTTTTTCTTTCTGTTGTTTTGACACATTAAGGGGAAATTGGACTGCGCCACCTAGCGTACTGGAGCCAAATAACTACTGATCATTTAACCCCTCAACTCCTGAATGTGCTTTCATATATCTATAAAAAAATGTATTTGCCTTTAAGTAGTTTCCAATTTGAATTTTGAACTTTCTGTTGATTAAAGAAAAAAAGTCGAAATGAAAGGTTTATAACAAATTACACACATTTGTTACCTAAGAAGAAGTAAGTACTCCTAAAGTGGCTGCATTTACTTCTATTCAACTCGATTTTCTTTGATAATTTGTACAACTTTCTTCACTGCAATTCCATGTGTGTTCGTCTTAGGGTATTTTTCTACTAACATATTCTAAATTAGATTTAGGCTCTGACTTTGACTGGACCCTTTAAACACCTCAGTATGTATGTATCTCCTTTCAATTGTATTTCTTGCTGTATTGTTATTATTTTTTTTACATGCAAGCCAGCTGAGGTTTCAGTAGATCATAGCACCTCGTCTGCAGCCTCTCAGGTGTTACCATGTCCCTTTATACTATTTTTCTAAATAATACTTTTCATGGTCGGCCATGCGTTGGTAGGTTTCCCGTTTAGCCATAGTCTTCACAGTTTTAAAGTCCTCTAGAAAAGGATTAGACATGTCTTGTTTTATTTATCACTACATCCTTCTCGTTGCCCTCTCTGTTGTGGTCTTCGGTTCTCTGATGTTCACTAACAAAACATCTGGATCAATGATTGGATGTAATTTCTCTTCTCTGTCTCACATCTTGCACTGGGTTTTATCAAAGGGCATAATAACAAAAGGGAAAAAGGTTTCAAACTGTTTATTTGTAAGAGATAAAATCAGGGCGGCCAACTTTTCACCAAACCTTGGGGTGAGATGTTGAAATAATTTGGTTAGGAAACCCTGTCAGGGTTAGATGAGGATAGGTGCAGCTATAGGTTGGAGGTTTTCAGAGGATTTAACGGAAACAAAATGTGGATTCTTTTATAGCAGAGTAAACTATACTGAATAACAATTAATGATCTGTAGTTATGTGGAACATGTCTCTCACAATATACATTATTTTCTACATTTTGGTGATTTTTAAAAAGCAGAATGGGCCCTACTAAAATACTTGCATCTTAAATATACTTTAAACTAAGAATTTCAAATTTTTTTAAATTAATTATTCTCGGCAGTTCAAGTAAATTAAACAATGGGGAACTAATAAGCTATTACTGGATTACTGGCACTGATACAGGAACCAGTGCAATCCAAACCCATGAAAACTACACTGTATGAATATTTGGTAATAGGCTAAGGATTAAAAAGCTTTATTCATTATATTATTAGTTTTTCTTACAATTGGCAAAACTCTCTGGATGTTTCATTTGGAAGGTGTGATGGAAATTAAGTTTTTAAACATATTCAGTGGACCAAAATAAAGATAAATGAATAAGATAAGTTATAATAAAAGAAGAACATCCCTGTGGTTATCCTCTATGAATCCAGGATAACTGAGTTGTTCTGCACATCCTCTCCGTGGTTGGTCTTTTCTTGGGTGGCTGATCTTTTGAAAAATAAAATGCAATGGTTCTTTTTCTTTTTGTGGACCTCCTATGTGTTTGATGCAAATGAGAGATTATTCAACTAGACTGAGCAAAACATGGACTAAAACTGGGACTAAAAAAAGCACCAGGTAAAGAGAAAACAAACCATGTTTTCTACCTGTCATTTTAATCTTCCCTTCATCAGTAATGTCATTAAAAGTACCTGTTTGATGTCTCCCAGTTGGTTCTTGTCCTCATGGCAGTACTGAGACTGCCCTTAAAAAAGTATTTGATATCATCTGCATAAAAGTAGACAGTGGAAGAACAACAGTGCTGGTTTAATTAGACCTCAGTTCAACTGCTGACTGTGGCATTATACTGAAGTCACTTGAAGTACTTGACCGGTTTGAGTTTGACTTGAAGGAATGTCACTTCTTGTTAGGGTTTCATGTTTGTGGTTTTTTTTGTTTTTGTTCTCTTGCAGTTCCACCGTGCACCCACCAGATTGTGCCATTGTTCTCTGCTTGGAGGGCTTCCTGTTCCTCTCACCTCACACCTGCAGCCTATTGGGTCATCACTTCCTGAGGAGTATTTAAGCAACAGACTGTCTTCACTTCCTCGCCAGTGTTTGCCAGTAATGGGTACTCTAGCCCCTCAGAGTTTTGCAGAGTCTAACTTTGACTCCCTGTTTCTTCTGAGCTCTCAGCGCTAACCAAGTTTTGTCTTTCGATTCTCCGGCAGGATATCACTGATCCACTGGATAAGCCAGGCCCTTCAAGTCATGGAAGGGACCCTCGTCACACTGAGAATAGGAGACAGATCTCCTCATCTGAACGCCGTTCACTTCAGGAACTTTGTGTCAGTCTGCTCTGCTGCTCCTCAGGACCACCATAATCTGCCTGTCTGCCCTCCAATGAACTACACCTTCTACAGATCAAGCCTCCACAAACGGGAACTCTGGAACCCTCCCAAACAACCACAGTGAGTCCAAGTCAAACCTTTTATTCAGACAATCGGCCAGTATTCCCACAGTTCTTTAACTCACCACTCTGATCTCCTCCTAGAGCTTCCGCTTCCGGTTCACCTGACCACTGGAACCTCCCCAAGCTGAAGAACTGTTTTTTCCTAGTCTCTGTACAGTAATCCCTTCAATAAACTGTTTAACATTTTCCAGTCTCTGTGAGTGCTTCTGCATGTGGTTCAAACACATTAGACCCATAATGACACTTCTTTGTAACATCAACAGGTAACATTTTATCACAGCTGATTAGAATCACATCCCAGGTCCTCCTATTAATGTTTAATTAATTATTCCTTTTTAATTTCTGCATGCTCTTACTAGCTTAGATTATAAGAAACAATAAGATAAATGACCATAACTTTGCGCATGACACACAGTTTTATTAAATGTAAAAAAATAACTGAAAATGGAGAGAAAATTTAAGTGGTGATAATAGTATTGTAAGAAACTTCATTAGTGTGTCTAAAATACATGCACAGCCTAGTGGTTAGGGCATAGAGCTTGGAATCCTGAGGTTCTGAGTTTGAGCCCCACTCACGCAGACTGCCACTCTGGGTCTCTGAGCAAGACCCTTAACCCCACAGCCGCATAATAGCAGCTTACTGCTCCCCCAGGGATGGGTTAAATGCAGAGAGTTCCTTTTGTTGCTCTGTACTTGTGACAGTGTAATGACAATAAAAAAGCTTGAAAAAATTGGCACATTGTATATTTAATTTCTTTAAATCTTTGCTACCAACACCCATGAAAATGTCACACAAGTTTATGTTTTTGAGTTATTCTAATGGAAATCATATTATGTATTTTTGGTCTTATGATAAACACATATCTGTCTTTATTATGGGAAGCCCTGTCCTTCTGGAACAGACTTTACATATCTCAAAGACAGCATCCACTTCCACATTCTTACATTAGAGTCAATGCATCAATGCAAAAACATCAGAATATTATGTGCAAATAAATACACTTCATGGAAAATGATAAAATTTCGTTTTTGGTAAAGCATGGATCATCTTTGCCAGAACATCAATTTCTGTCTCTGCTTGCAAAACATGTGACGCAAAATTTTAGAACTTCCTCTGTTTTGCAGCCAAGCTTTGCATTTTTTTCTGAATATTAACAGTAACAGTTGCTTCAGAGAGGAGAGGCACTTATTTGTACAATGGTCTGGCCATGTTACTTTACATAAAGCTGCTATGTTAATGTCGCGAATAAGATGATAAAGATTTGTTAAATCAAAGGAAAATTTCTCCAAATTACCCGTTGCACAGAAAGCCACAGCTGTGTGAGTTCCTCGATGCTCAATTTAGGAAAACACACAAATCATTTCACAGGTGCCCGATTCCCATACCGATTAAAACAGAAATAATCCATCTGGAGTATTTGTGTAGTTTTACATAACCACCCCCATACTTTGATTGTGAATGTCTATAAATAAGAGGGAAACAATAATAGTGTGCACATTTGAAGCCTGGACCTGAAAGTGTTTCCAGCTCAAGATGGACAAAGGCTGGTGGAAATTAACCCTGGCTGCTGTGCTGCTGTTTACCAGCGCATATGCAGAAGGTAAACAATGTTTTTTTTCTTATCAGTTCTATAACATACACAAGACTTTGTAAGAATATATATTTTTGTTTACAGTAGCTTTTTATAAATTCTTGATTCTTAATCCTTAAACTGAATGTAAAGTGACTGTATTTAGGCTTTAGGGACAAATTTAGCATCAGATCATTGAGTTAAAGAAACTCTAAAATGTCATTCTTGAATCAGTTTACTAAATTTAAAATCAAATTTATAAAGATGATATGATTAGGACCTCCACACATAACTATCTAAAACAGTGTCATGCATATCATCTCTGCTTCTTTGTTATATGAGCAGATTTTAACAAACATTTACATTAATGAAGTGAAGAAAATTAGCTCCTAAATTTCATTAGCTAGAGAAAAAAAACTTAGATTAAATTTTTTGACTTTGTCCAATTGGATTTTATAAGGAATTCTGTATGTTTTTTTTTTAAATCTATTTGTTGAGTGACTCATCAGCTAGATTTTCTTTCTTCATTATTTTAAAACATTAATTTGTCCAACATTTAAAATATTTATTTGTCCAAAACAGTTTTCAGTTTTAGCAGGAAAGTAACATCCAATGTTTAAAATGTTTATTTCACATATGACATTTTATCTTGTTTATTGTTTTCGCTAGCCTCTGTCATCCAGTGAAAAAACTTTGGATTGAGATTTACAACATATATTTTAGAGAAAAAGTATATAAGCTCTTGTTCAGTTAGAAAACAGCATCTAAATAAAATGTAAAACATAGCCAGAAAATGCTGTCTAGTATTAAAATAAACTAAATAAATTTGTGTTTATACTCATTTCCTTACTTCAGTGGTTATTTGGTCAGAGGTGAGGGATTCCCTGGACAGCTAATCAGTACAAAAAACACTACAGACAGATAGGATAACTATG